CTAGGTACATTAGATTTTGTCATAGCTCATGGGTTCTTACCAATGTCATGAAATGGCCTGTTTTCGGATCTTGCCTTTGATGACATAAAATAAAATAATTATGTTTTATCGAATCCTTGCTCAATAAATGCACCGCACCATGCTATGAATTTTGCATGTGTGATCTCTTTAATCTTATTTAATTTCACTGTCTCAGTTTTCTCATCTGTAAAATGAGCGTAATAATAGCCCGTACCTCATCCAGTGGCTTTAACTTTTTTAATATCACATGGATGAAAATAGAAGACCCGGGTTTTGATTCCAGGTGTATTTAACTCCTAACCACTATACTCTAGTATAGTGGATGTGTACAACATCTGCATTTCCACAACCCTAAGTTTGTCCCCAGGAACCTAACTGACTAGTTCATGAAAGGGGTAAAGTTGTTTCCTTGTAACTCTTATACTATGTTACCAGATACCTGTTTAGAATTAGTTTGAGTCACTCTCAGCTAAGACATAATTTGTTTCAACAGTTTGCTTTTACAGAATCTGTTTGGATCTACGGTTAGCAAAGTGTAGCATGTTTCAAAGTTACTGAGCTGTATTGAAAGGTCACTTGGCATGATTTACAGAAAGGAGCCCTAGTAGGTGCTTTACACATCCCCAGTCTATATATATTTTCCATATAGACTTCCCCCAAAATTACCAATTTATTGATTGACACCCAGAGCCAATCATATCTCTCCAACATCTTCCTTTCTGGACCTTTCCAAGGAATCTTTGCATCTTTCATCTTAAAACACATCAGTGGTTTTAGGATGGAGGAGACACTAGCTCTGAATCTGCAAAGCTGGCTTTAAGAGAGCACTGCCACTGAAGTTGTGTGACCTCAAGGGACCTGAGTTTTTTTCATGTGCAAATGGGAATAGTATTTGGCCTGCTTCTCTCTCAGTTCTTCAAGATAAAAATAGAAAGTACAAAGGAGAGACAAAGTGGTATCATTCTTAAAGGTAAAGGGTTTGGAGCCCAACAGAGTTAGGTTTAGAGCCTGATTTTGACAGTGGCTACATGGTGTTGGACACATTATTTAACCTAACAGAGGAGGAGACTGTTAAATGAGATAATATAATCCACTTGCAAAGTAACACGCTCTAGCTGGCAGGCCTTATTGGTTAACATTGCATTATAAATGGTCTTATTTCAATGTACGAGAATAAAGAGGAGGGGAATATTAGATCTGAATGAAGATGTGAATGCATGCTGTGTATGAGTTTTATATGAGCTTTGGTGTTTAAATATGATCTGCACTCTGTAAATCTTTGCAGCAGAACACTTGATCATTGGCAATAAATTACAATGAAAGCATTTTCATTAAACTTTTTTGCTCCAAAGAAAAGAATCTCAGTTTGAAGACTTTACATTAGACTTGCCTTTTGACNGGGACCATGAAGCATGTTTGTGTGTGTCTATGTGGGTGTATGTGTGAGAAGGGTGTGAAGGTATGGTGGGAGATTGTGAAAGTAAGCTAAATCCTAAACTTTTGTAATGGGAAGCCCATAGGTAATGCTAAACCTGGAAAATCAAGAAATAGCAATATTACCAAGTAATATGTATATAAGGATTTAAATTATCAAATAATCAGATAAAATCATTGACATGTATTGCTTCTGGGGATCCAGAAGTGGGGAAAATGAAGAAAAAGGGACTGCTTTTTTATGTAACCAGCTTATAGAGCCCTTAAAATATGCACATATGTAACTTTAATAAAATAAAAAATGGAACTGAAAACAAAACAATAGCTATTGAAAACAAAATAGTTGTAGAAATCACTCCTTTATTACTTAATAAAAGTTACATATACATTATCTGAAGATACATGTTGGAAATTATTAATATTATAATGTATGTTTGGCTGTTGGCCCTTTGCATCATTTACAAAGTTGTCCCTTTAATAAAACATCAGCCTGGTTGGTTTTGAAGAGGCCTTGGGTGGCTAATGGATTCACTGTTGAATGATAATCTATGAAAAATATTTGTGAATATGGCAGCATATTCTTCAAATTTCTTGGAGAACCATAATATATTTCTGAGTCACTGAAATTTTTGCTAACTTATTTGAGCATCACACTACCACAGACAACATTGTCGGGAGATTTAGTATCAAGATAGATCAGGGTTAATAGAGAAAGAGATTTAGGTTCTCTAGGTCTGGCCACCTTGGAGGGGAAGATGGTTCATGGGGTCTTTGGACCTACTTAAATTCTCTTCATGCTGGGAAGTTTGTGATTGTCTTTAAAGAGGGAGGGCTCTTAGAGCATTTATGAAGAGAGGAGGCATCTATTATTGGGTTGTCGGAAAAGTCATGATGTATTTT